CCCCAAAACCCCAAAACCCCAAAACCCCATATCGCAGCAATATTGACTTGTTCGTCAAAAAAATAAATTCAAATCATTATAAACGAATCCTATTAATGAACTAATTGACGTAAGAGGAATTAGCTTAAACCAATGGAAGGCTAGACAATCAAAGCAAACTGTATGTTTAACCAAAACTATCTAGACTTCAATTCTACTTATTAATGGCTTTCTACTTGATAGCAGGTGGTATGGTTACAATAACTTTGAAAGTCCAAAACATCTAAATAAGTTAGGTTGATGGTAAACCATTCTAATGGCAGCATCCTTTCGTTTAAGTCTTGTTCATGTTCATTGGTGAAATGACCTCTGGTTTAATTTACATATCTCTCTTCAGGAAATCTTTTAAAGCTCAAAGACTTTCAAGAATGAGTAGCTTTGATAATACTCAGAAAGAAGTAGCAAATCCATTTGTATATGCTATACCTGCTTCCACTGACACTATTGCATCTTTTATGGTATTTTTCGGTTTGACTTAGATTCAGGCCAGTGTTTATCAAATGATGAAAGGCTTTATCGTAGTTGTTACCGCTATCCTATCCGTTGTATTTTTGAAAAGACAGCAGTATTATCATCACTTCATTGGTATCTTTTTAGTTGTACTTGGAGTCGGAACAGTAGGGTTTTCTGCTTACTTCAGATCGAACGAAGCAGAGAGTAGTAATTTGATTATGGGAATGCTTTTTGTTTTGGGCGGTTAAACATTCTAGGCTTTTCATCTTGTGATTTAAGACCACTATCTTAAGAAATATGACATTCATTAGTTCTAGCTCATTGGATGGGAAGGAATATGGGGTATTGTTATTCTATCTGTGCTTCTACCAATATTCTAATAGATACCATGTGATTAACCTTATTGTGTAAACGGTAAAATTGAAGATTCAGTACTGGCTTTTAATGAGATTTTGTCGAATTGGTACCTAGCTCTTTTTATTTTCCTCTATTTCCTTGCTATTGCCTTTTATAATGGACTTGGAATCACTATTACCAAATACGCTTCTTGCGTTCATTAGACAGTAACCGACCAATCTAGAGTTTTGCTAGTGTGGACATTCTTTATCCTCTACCCTGGCATTGCTTAAGAAGAATTCAGAACTTTGCAATTCCTTGGCTTTTGTATTATTGTCACAGGAAACTTCATCTACAATGAGATCATCAGATTAAATAAGGAGTCTAAAATGTTCAAAGATGATGATGAGTTGCTTGAAAATGACTCAAATGAATTCTAGTAAACATCCAAATAATCTCTCATCCCTAAAAATTAATTGCAATGATTAACATCTCAATTTTTAATGCATTCAACTACTCTAATATCAATTTTATGCAAATTTTAACTACTGGGGTTTTGGGGTTTTGGGG